CAAATGCAAAAAATAAAACAAAATACTCCACGTAAAATAGAGAGATCACAAACTCTACACAAGATGGAGATAAACCACGAAAAATAGTAGAAACATAAATAATACCGATATGTACCAAATAGACATAGATTTATAACTTATTTAACAAAAAAACGTAAAAATTTACAATAAAATATAAAATGATAGAGAGGGGCTGTCACAAGAGACAAGAATCAGCCCCTCCCTATAACTACATACTTCGTTTTTTTGTAATAACGCTAATATAAAGATTGGGATATTATGGAAATTAGCAGGAGTGCTTATTTCCCATTTATGTATATATTTCCCTCTTAATTTTCTTAATAGAAACATATTTGGATTTGAGTAGAAAATCAATATAATAATCAAATCAAATTAGGTGATTAGTCTTCCTATTGATGTGAATGAAAAGTTTCAAATTCAAGTTCTCCCCATAAAAAAAAAGGCTATCTTATATCATGTTATGTTTATCTATAATATTTTTCCAATATAATGAGCCTCCCAAAGAATAAAAAAAAAAATTTCTATTTTACTTTTTTTAGTCTATCAAAATCATAAGATCATTTAAAAAACTCTAAATATGATCGCTTATAAAATTATATTTGTTAATAAAACAGGACTTGGATTTAATTTATAATTAATATAACCAATTAAATTAAAAATTATTAAAAATAATAATATCTTACTTATTTTTTAACCAATTATATAAATCTCATGATCGCTTATTAAAATTATATTTGTATCAAAATCATAAGATCATTTAAAAAACTCTAAATATGATCGCTTATAAAATTATATTTGTTAATAAAACAGGACTTGGATTTAATTTATAATTAATATAACCAATTAAATTAAAAATTATTAAAAATAATAATATCTTACTTATTTTTTAACCAATTATATAAAGGACAAATTTATTATTCTTACATTTAGTCATATGCTATTAATGTTGATTGGGTCAAGTAGTTGAGACTCCTTCCATAACCAAAGAATTCAAGCCTTGAGTGTGGAAATTGTCAGACTCCTTTATGGGTCTTGCATCGAGCCGAATATAGTCGAAGTCTTGTGAACTTATACCGGTAGTTATAAACTAAAAAAATTAGACCATGTACTTTTTTATTTATCCTAATATTTTACCCTCTCAAATTTTTTACTTTTATGCATATTATTATGGATAATAAATAGATATTTCCAATTCTTTTAGTGTCTTAATTAGAATTAATAATTACTATCTATTACTAACGGAATATTAATATAAATTTTTTCACATTTATAAACTCAAAGTTATGGTACAAAATATATAATCATAAAGTCAAAATAAAATAATATATTAAAGTAAAATTAAAGGATGTATGTAATTCGGATAATATTGAATGGAATGACTTTCATTTCGATTTCTTTCCGCAATACTTTGGAATTTAAAAATTTTATTTTGTTCTAAATATATTTTTAAATTTAAAATTATATTCCATATCATTTTATGAAATTTCAGTTTGGAATTCAATCATTCCAAATTTTCCAACTGTACGCATAAATCTGTTCTATTATGATATATTTTAAAATATAAAATTTTAAATTGAATAAAAAATAATCAATATATTTATTTAAAATTAAAAATAAATAAAAAACATAATTAAATTGCAATAAAACTATAGCTTAATCATATAATTAAAAATTCAAGCTCATTGATGAGAAATGAAGATATATCTTGGGGTTTTAACAAAAATAATACTCCTCAAAAAACTATTTCACAATTTAATGCCAAATCAAAACTATTTATCAATCTAATGTTTGTCCATGGATAGAGAGTGTTGAACTAAAACCATCAACTCAATTGGTAGTTTCAGTGCTATTGAAAAAGTAATCTGTACTGATAAGTAGTCAGCAAAATGTAATTATATGAATAAATAATAATTTTTATTTTGTATTGAGACCATCAATTCAACTTGTGATTTCAATATAAAATAAAAATTTTAAGTTGTCAGCAAAAAGTACATGCGAGAATAGTTTTAGGTTAATTAATGATTTCAATAAAAAAATATTTATTTACTCAAAATATTTTTCACCAAAATCCAAATATCATATAGTGGTTTTGGTAATATTTCAAGTTAAGTAATAATAACATAAGTTATTTTCATTCAAGATTATGTTAACTAATTTAATGTTAAGTTATTTCTTGTTTATAGATGTCTTGGTAACCATATAGAGAGATTGAAGGACTACTTTCTCGATTTTGTTTATCTGGGAGATGAACTTGAAATTCATTAGTACCATTGATTTGCTTCGATATTGTAGAATGAAATCAACTTGATAGTTGCCTCCAGCAGTTTGAAATGAACCAACCTATACCTGTGGCACCATATCAGGATAATACGCTGCATTCAGTTGACTTACGATGTTACATTGATAATGATTTTGAGCACAAGAATCAATCATTCATTCAAGCATGGAATAATCGTCTCTCTTGAACGGTTTTATCTCATCAACTCCACGCACCTTTAGGCCCTTACTCAGAGCATATGCAATGGTATGTGTAACGAATTAGACGTTGGATTTCATTTCAAGGTGCAAAAGTTGGAGCTATGGTAATTAGTCGATATCTTTTTATCTTACCTTATAATTTCTTAATCTATTGAATAATAATTTTTCTTTTATTTCCATAATATTTTTTTTAATAACAGTAGATGGGCTACAACATACATAGCACATCTCAACATCACCAACATGTAGAACTCCATTCCGTCAAAGATTGTTTAGTCTATTCGGTTCAATGAAAGAAAAAATTCATATCGAAATTTATCCTATGCTTCAAACTGCCCCTCCATTTATAGAGTTTCCTCGTGTTTAAACACCAAAAGAACTACAGAGGCGAAGGAGATGTGAGATAGCATCTAAAAGTATTCCAATTGAAGGCTCGTCAGTAGACGATATACCTCAAGTCTCTCCCCTTATTAACATATAACTATTACGAAGGTTATCGTGCTAATATGCCTGTCACATCATCTTCTGCATTACAACCTGAGTGAGTGTACCATCTGAAGAATCAAAAATCTCATCGAACATTCATTATACTCTGATGATGGCAACCCAACAAACCCTTACTTCTTTCTCTGAAATAGCTACGACAACACCATTTCAATATACAGTACTTGCTTTCAATACTTCTGCATTCGACACACGTGATGAATCTACATATCATGTTAGGTACTCATTTAATGATTTCTTTGAGATGATGACAGCACCCGATCAACAGACTAATCCAACATTTCCTAGCCTACAATAACTATATGTGAATATGTTCAAACTCTTCGCATCAGTGTCGATATAAAAATTGAGCATGGAGAAGAATATTAAGGCATTAGAGAAGATGCAGTATGCCGAAACTCACGTTATAATAAGAGGCCTCCAAGATGTGGTACAAGAGGATATGTGGGTAGATATTAATATGATTAATTTTTCTTGTATTAATTATTAAGACATTTTTGACATAATACAAGTTCAACTCAAAGTACTTTATTACTCTTGGTAATTTGTAACCGTGTAAGGAAAATTATGTTGTTATTATTTAATTTGAAATATTTATGAACCAAAACCATCAGATGATATATGAGTTTTGGTGAAAAAATATTTTGAGCGATAAATATTTTTTTATTGAAACCATTAGTTAACATGATAGACTCTTAACAAAACACTATTCCAACATGTACTTTTTGCTAACTAGTGGTCACATGTCAGAGTTGCACTGAAACCACCAAGTGGATTGTGTGTTTTAGTGAAAAGATAATTTGACAACTTAAATTTTTTTTTTTTTTTTTTTTTTTTTTTGGATTTGTGTTGTTTTAAGTGAAAAGATAATTTGACAACTTAAATTTTTTTTTTTTTTTTTTAAATTTTTTTTTTTTTTTTTTTTTTTTTGTATTGAAACCGCTAGTTGAATTGGTAGTCCTAAAATAAATCCAAAATTATTTTTTATTCATATAATTACATATAATTACTTTTTGCTGACTGCTTATCAGTACGGATTACTTTTTCTATTGCACTAAAACCACCAATTGAGTTAGTGATTTCAGTGCAACACTCTCTCTCCATGGCAGAAACAAACATTAAATTAGTAAATAGTTTTAATTTGGCATTATATTGGGACACAGTTTTTTGAAGAGCATTATTTTTGTCAATAACCCATATATCTTTAATTGACAACTTTCCCCATAATTATAATGAAGTAACAACAAATATAGAAAAAAAGCAAGTTGGTATGATCATAAAATAGATATAACAAAATCCAAAAAAGAAATTAGAAAGAGAAATAAAAATACAAGCAAAAAAACATATCAAGAGAGCAATTCATACAAAAAGCTTTTTAAAGTTGATCGTTAAAAAAAGAAATTTTATTGTCAAGCACAATAAAAGAAAATGATAATATTTTTTTCTAATCACTTGAGAAGAATCAAAGAAGGTCCATACAAAACATGCAAATTATGACTCTGAAGCTAACATCATTTTTTTATTTTGACTCTTCAACTTTTAAGTATATATTAATTAGTATTAGGGTTAGAGTATTTCACTAAATTATTTAGTTTTAGAAAGAAATCGGAGTTTTTTAATATTAAATTCTAAAAATATTTATTCAAATTTAATATTTTATAATTAAAATTGAAAATAAAAAAATAAAAAGGTAATATTTGAATTAGAATATACAATTTTCTATTTACTTTTCCATTCCATATTCTATATATCAATATTTTAAAATGTACATTATATTTTAAGTTCCGTATTCCAAATTGAAATTCGATTGGAAATGGTATTACTCCAAAACGATTTCCACCCCCAGCGAAAATGATTAAACCATCTCTGCTATAATTATATTTATTAACGTTAAATTAAAATTCAAATAACTCTTCCCTCAAAAAAAGTTCAAATAACTCAAATGAGCTTAAATTTAAAAAATCAAATTTACTAATTACTCCATACAATATAAAATATATTAAAAATTACATAAAATTTTAAATTCCAGCTGACTTATAGAATATTTATTAAATCCTCTCTCTCTCCCTCTCCCCCTCCCCCTGTCAAACACACAGAAAACACTTGTATGGGGAAAAAGAAAAAGAGATCATGAAAGAGGAAAAAGAAGTTTCCAAGCCTGTTCTCCTCTACAAACACGCATCTCCTTGTTCTGGAAAGATTCTTCACAGGCCAGTTATTGAACAATTCTATGGATTTTTTCTCCTTAATCCAAGCATACCATTAAAAGAAATTTAATTATGAGAGAGAGAGAGACGGCTCCCAATTTCAAAAACCTAATTATGTCTCCTCTACAAACACGCATCTCCTTGTTCTGGAAAGATTCTTCACAGGCCAGTTATTGAACAATTCTATGGATTTTTTCTCCTTAATCCAAGCATACCATTAAAAGAAATTTAATTATGAGAGAGAGAGAGACGGCTCCCAATTTCAAAAACCTAATTATGAGAGTCACGGCTCCCAATTTCAAAAACCTAATTATGAGAGTGATGGCTCTTAAGCATCGAGTACTTTTGACAAATCTAGCTCATTGATTTGACTCGAGCTCTGTTATAACTATGTACTGTGCACAAACTCCATATTGTACCCTAATAACCAATTTGATGCTCATGAATCTGCAAAATTTCCTAAAAGATCAAATTTAAATTGAACCATATTTCTTTTCACTTGCTATCCATGTCCCTTGTGCCGAGGCAGACGGTCGTTCTTGTTCCCAAGAGGCTTCGGCTCGTGAATAACCGCTATTGAGGCCTTCTACTTGTCTGTACCCGTTCATTTCGCCGCTTGCCTATTTTTATAACAAATTCAAGCAATTAAGTGAAGGAAAACAGCTCAAACAGGGGTTATTTTAGAACTCAGACAACAGAAAACATTTAAATGGAGCTGAATAGCACTCGAAATTTAGGATACACATGTATCCTAACAAATGCCATGAAAAATGATGTTATTTTAGCAACTAGGAATAACCATTTCATAGGATGTAGAACAAACTAATTCCAGAACAATTTTCATGAGGCATATTTTGTAATTCATAGCTAGGGGCGGCCACGGTTCCGGTTTCAAAAAATTTGGAACCGGAACCAAATCGGAAACTGACGGTTCCGGTTATGGTTTGGAACCAAACGGTTACAGTTCTGGTTCTGGTTTCAGTTCTTTAACGGTTCCAAAACCGACGGTTTCGGTAGGTTCTCCGATCGATTTTCCGGTGAATCGCATAATTGTAAAATAAAAAAAGTAGAAAACATTTTTTCTTCAAAATTTAAAATTTAAAACTTTGTGAAATAATTTCTAAAAAAAATAGCCTTAAAAATTCAAAAATGCTTGAACTTAAAAGATTATATTGATCAGGAGTGAAATCGAAGATGTCGTTTTTAGAGATAAATGATTATTGTGTTTCTTCAATCTTTCCTTGCCCTTAGTGGAACTTAAGTTTCCTCTACTTGCCATTATAGGAAAATAATATGTAACTTGAAAAATTGAATAAAAAAAATTAGAGAAAATAATTAGAGATTGAAATTTGAAGAAATTGGACTCTACGTCTTCCTCTACTTGCCATTATAGGAGAAAATAATACTCGTAACTTGAAACAATTGATAAAAAAATTAGAGAATACTAAACGCTTAGAGATTGCAACTTTGTAAGAAGACAATTAATTCAACCATACATTTAGACAACATAAATTGGAGATTGGACTTTGAAGACATCTATTTTGCAATATTGACAAATAATTCTATCGTGAATGAAATATTAGAGAGTATCTGTAATCATAAAGAATGATTACTAGATAGAAATGAGCTTCAATAAGGATAATTGGATTCCCATCTGCGACGGGATATTATAGGAAAATAATATGTAACTTGAAAAATTGAATAAAAAAAATTAGAGAAAATAATTAGAGATTGAAATTTGAAGAAATTAATTCACCATAATTTAGACAAATAATTGGAGATTGGACTTTGAAGAAATTATTTTGCAATATTTTGGACAATAATTTATGAATGAAAATTAGAGAGATTGTAATATAAAGAATAATATAAAGTAGAGAGAATAGAGATAATTGTGCGAGGGGATTGTAAATGTAACGAGGTGATTGTAAATGGAATGAGGTATTTATAATAAATCCAAAAAATTATTTTTCTACAAATACCATTGAAACTAGCTGTTTATAGTTATTAGAGAGGTAATTTGGGAATTTCACAAAACTATTTCAAAAATTAAAAAAAAAAAAAAAAAGCTGCTGGAACCGGCTGGAACCGCCAGCTCTAACCGTTTAACATAAAATTCAAAATCTACTTAGAACCGCAGAATCAAACCGTTAGTTCTAACCGGCTGGAAAAACCGTCGGTTCCGGACGGTTCCGGCCGGTTCTTGGAACCGCCGATTCACAGTTCCAAAAATGGTGGAACCAGAACCGAACCGTAGGCCACTGGTTCTGGTTCCCACCGGTTCGGAACCGACGGTTCCCGTTCCGAAAACCGTAATATGGCACCCCTATTCATAGCTCTATGCTATGCGCAGTACAAAATCAATCAATTTTTCGTTGTTAAAGATCAAATAATGTAATGTTAGAATGAGTTATCAAAACTCACAATTTCTAAACATGCAGATAGTATTGTCATGCCTGGCAATGCATCAATTCCTCGCTGCATTCAGATGAAATACCAAAAGAAAATTACGAGTGTACTTCTCATGGCAATGGAAGATATAATCAAAAGCTATAGAACTATTAATTGATGGTAAATAAAAGTAAGGAAGTCTACCAGGCGTTCAACGCGTGTCTTGTAGATGAACCCCGCACAACAAAGCACTGTTGATGAGACAAAGAATCTGCTCCAATTTGTTCAAACATCAAAATTCAGAATCAGTAAAAAGTTTATACGTAATCTGTAACATGTCAATTTGGATATTGCTGACACCATACGTTTCTGGTGCTTCAAATTTACAAAATAAATGATCACCAAGCAATTGAGAATAAATAAGATGAAAAAGAATAAGTCAAACTTGTCATACATGCAAGACACAATCCCAAATATAGCCCATCCCCGTCTAGAGTCTTCTTCTTCATCCTGACTGCGTTCTGCAAAATTTGGACAAGGCTGGGGTTTCAGCATAACTAGAAATTTAAGCAGAAAACACCAAACAACTGAAACCAAGGCAGGAGATGGTATGAAGTTTAGGTAGACAATGGTATCAAAACTTATTGGCACTGTTCCAACAAATCTCAGTATTACATTTCCTTGCCACATGTCAAATATAAGTGAAATGGCCAATTGGATTTAGGAGACCTTGGTAAGCTGAAGAGTATGTGGTATGCTTCTGAGTTCTGATATCAAGGCAAACTTCATATGCCAAAAAAGTTTGAGGCAATGAATACTATATAACTAAAACACTATGTCTCTCAGTTAAAGAACTTGTTATCATTATAAATGATTCTCTTTATTTCTTTCTTTTTTTTTTCTTTTTTTTTTTTTTTTTCTTTTTTTTTTTTCTGATCTCGGGAAAACTGAATTCTTTCCTTCCTGTCGATGTTGGGAAAGTTATTGCAAAGCTTACCACCACACTTTTTTCGAATACGGAAAAAACTGGAAACAGGCTCATAAAGCCCTCTATGGGATAATGTGCATTAACTTCATAGGTGCTATCTACGAACCTCCTTTGAACTTCAAAAGGTTAAAGACTCCAAGTTCTTAGAATTATTATTAATTAAAATAGATGATCAGTTAAATAACAAAGAAGATAACCATACATTCTTCCAATCCACAACCAAAATTGTAGGTGACAAAGGTTGTTGGGAGGATTCCCCAACTGGCAACTGAACCTGCACAATCTAACCTTTTAGGCCTTCCTCTGGCCGCATTTAAAGCCGAATGAAGCAGTTAAATTAAGCAAAGATCAAAATGTATAATAAAGTACGCGATTAACATTTGCAAATAGCACGTTTTCGTTATAACATTTCTTTTTTTTTTCTTTTTTTTTTTTTTTGAGAGAACTGAATTTTTCCTCTGTGAAAGTTATGCAAGCTTACCACACATTTTCGAAAGAAAAAACTGAACAGGCTCATAGCCCTCTATTGGGATTGTGACATTAACTTCATAGGGTGCATCACGAACCTCCTGACCTTCAAAAGTTAAAACTCCAAGTTTAGAATTATTATTAATTAAATAGATATCAGTTAAATAACAAAGAGATAACCATACATCTCCAATCCACAACCAAAATTGTAGGTGACAAAGTTGTTGGAGGATTCCCAACTGCACCTGAACCTGACAACCTAACCTTTAGGCCTTCCTCTGGATAAACCTGAGAAGGCAGTAAATTAAGCAAAGATCAAAATGTATATAAAGTAGATACATTTGCAAATAGCAGGTTTTCCGTACATTGGACAGACTGAATACCTTAATAATGGGTGTTTGCACCAAGGTCGAGAGGGATGCAATTGCAGTCATGTAAAGGGCAACATGAGTTTGTTCAGTGCTGAAGCTGTCATATGGATAGCTAGTGCATAATTGAGAAATTTTAATATAATGAAAAATTATGGAAATTAAGAACTCCAACCAAAAGGAGAATGATTACCTAAAGTCCTGGTGGGACTTTTCATAACCAGGTTGGGTCATGCCATTGTAAACCTACAAGTTAATTTAAAACAAAACCTCAATAAATACCTTGTTCTTTAAAGGAAGGATGGAAAAAAAATGAAGTCTTAAACTAAAGCGCGTGCAACCAGGGAAAATTCCTATTATTCTCTTTTCTGTGTTTATAGAGGGGCAGGATTCTTACAATTTCCCATGATCGCGGATGAAAACCAACGGTGAAGCCCTCAAATACTCGTGGGCCACGTTTCTCACATGGAATAGCAAGTTCAACTAAAACTCTGAAAATAGGAAAAACAGCCATGTTCTTAGAGAAGAAAATGCAGTTGTACTACAGAAAAAGAACAATACCTGAAAAACAGCAATCTATTTGCAAAAAGCTACATGAAGAAAATGAAAACTAACAATTGTCTCCAAGGAAAAGAAATAATTTAGAGTGAAGTAATCCTGAAACTCTTGACCATCATATTTGACCATTTCTTTCCCAATTATTGACTCTGAATTAATTTTTCTCAGAGCAAGCATTTCCCATCAATAAGCTGCATTTCAGATGACTTTATACTAGACCCTTCTGCTACAGTGCTGTTTATATTCCACACATCTTTAGTATAAAGAAAATCCACTAATGGTATCATAGAGGTGGCTATCCACCAAGTATCAAGTAGAAAGTAACTCTAGCTACAGAGCAAAGACCAAATAATTCAGTATAAATTGTATTCAGGCACCGAATAAGACCTGCATTTTGATTCATATGTGACATTGCATATGCATCCGGATCCACCTGAGATCATAAAGTAAGGACAAATGAAACTGCTGTTTAATCACAGAGGAAATATTTTAGAATGCTAGGGAATGCAAACCATAGTCTCATCGGCACACTGAGTAATAAAAACAGTTAAAAAAAGAAGAAGAAAGAACTGAAGAAGTGATGGAATTAAAATAAATTATTCAAAACTTTAGAGTTCCTTAACCAAGATAAGTACTCTAGCAAGCTGGAGCTAAATTTTGATACCAATAGGTGTCCAAGCTTCACATCCAGCCATATCAAAACTCAGGGTCAATCAACCTGATGACTGTTTGACAAGCAACTCACTCAATAAAGCACAAGACAGCAGTAGAGTAATCACCAAAATTACTCTAGTTTTCCATATATGCACCAGATATTGAAATGCTTAAATTTGATGATTCTGATCATCCATTTGAATACTTTATGAATCAAAAAATGAATCCTAAGTGTGGATTAAGCTTATCCAAAGAATTATTCACCATAACCTTGACTTGCTCCTCCAACTTTTTATTTTCCACATGACTTCTAGGTGTCATAATTGTTATTTTATTCAATGAAACTGTTTAATCAATTCTGGTGCAAGCAACCAAGAAGAGAGTTAAAATAATTAAACAATTTTTAAAGCAATTCAGTGAATATTAAAATATATAACTTTGATCAATTCCTTTGGCATGAGAAACTGGGAACTGAAATTCAGAAAAAAAGGTATAGCCAGACCTGTGCATCGTTCATTTAAACAATTTCCACATATGATATCCACCTGAAATTGTAAAGAAAGAAATTTATATGACTTGCACAGATTCATGAGGGCAGCTGAAAGCATAGAACCTAAAGTAAAAAAATGGTTTAGAGATGTTTAAACGTCTAACAGAAGTGCTATTCTCTTTTCACTTATATCTTTATTAATATATAGTGAGAGAAAATGTTGGATTTTTCATCTAATAAAGTTTCGTCATAACAACTTACCTGAGCTGTACGTCCCAGTTTGTCATATGTAAGCTCACAGTTGGCCAGGTCACCATTGTAAAACCCCTAGACAAAGTGAAACAGAAAAATAGAGAAGATTGAGATAGTACTATTTAAAATTCTGGCTATCAAGAATACCATGATGAAGATTCAGAAAAGCCTATAAAACTCCAAAACTATAATTGAGCTCAGTAACCCTTCAAAATAAGTTTTGACTTCCTCTGTCCGAAACAAACATTAAAACTCCAATTTCTAAAAGGTCATGGATGAGAACTTTATGGCACAATGACAAAGAAACAAGAGAGATGACTAAGAGAGGTGGTCTTGAAACAAATTCTGTAGTAACAACATATTTGGATCTAGTTATGAGTCTTTTGTTCGAACTTAAAGATAGAATTAGGGTTCGTTAAGAGAGAATCAGGATCTCTTTGAACTCATTTGAGAGAACTCTACGATCTCTGAGTTTTTTCTTTGAAAAGACAATCTCTGTGCTTTGGGAACTCAGACCTTGGTTATTTTGTCTAGAATGAACTATTTTTGTGCTTAATGTAAATAAGATCGGCATGTTATTCCTTTTCTTTGCAAGAGTCTCAGCAGCCATTACAGAGGGCACAAAATAGATGGAGATCAATCTTTCCAAACACTAGACCAAATTTTCAATTAAAATTTTATTTTAAAAGCAAGAATTAGCGATTCATTTTCTTGTATTGTATTCTCTTCATCCTACTACTATCATTCATGGAAGGTTTCAAAAACTGTCAAATCTAAACAATTAATGTGACTTCGTAAACACTGACAATCCTGTGTCTGCTGCCGACATCGCCACATATAGTTTCACTTTCACAGTTAACAAGAGATTGCTTAAAGCCAAAATAATACTTACTTGATGAAAATCAGCACGTCCTGAACCAGCAACAAAATGGTTGAACTTATCAAATTGGCCAAAATCCACATATCCCTGTATAATAATGGAAAGCCTAGAGAATGTGAATCATACATGTGTCACATAAGAGACACATGATGTACGCAGTGATATAATGCTGTTCTGACCATATGAACAAAATGTATATAGCTTTAAAACTTGTGGCAGAGAGGATATGCAGTCTATCCTGGTGTTCACTATCAATTTTATATGGTCATAGAAAGTTACAGCAAAAATGCCACTTCCAAAATAACTGCATGAATTACTGGAAAAATGAACACTTCTATTTCGTGCAGATGTTGCTATGTCAAACACTAGAATCCTATCTATCCAATGAAAAAATTAATGTTCATGTTGTTATCAGACAAGAAAATTCTCATACAATAGAGAAAATTCACATTTCTTCATTAAAATAAAACAATCAAGAAAAGGAAAAGGAGCAGGATGGCAAAGTAATTGAGAACATGATGTTAGGCACTACCATTTGTGATCTTTAAAATAAAAAGGAAAGAAAAGGAAAAGGAGCACGATGGTATAGTACTTGAGAACATGGTGTTATGCACTACCATTTGTGATCTTTGCTCAACATCCTTGCAGAATCGAACCACTAAATCAACATTGTCCTGAATCAAGACACACATATAACATAATACCCTCTGTATAAAGATTCAAGGAATAAAGATTCAAGAATAGATCAGTTAATAAAGCAAAAGAAAAACATTTACCTTCCCTTCATACTCAAAATGTTGCCCAATCCACCCGCTCTAAATAACAAACTTAAGAGGAAAACATTTTCAACAAAAATCCAACTGAAACATACAAAGCAGCAAACACTGAAATATGTGTCCTTGTGTGTGTGTGTGTGTGTGTATCCATTTCAGCTCTAATACACTGGAATTAAGCTGAAGGAGAACTAGAGATCATGATTCTAATCAACAAGTGAGTGCAAACCCAGTCTACATTGCAATATTGAGAATTATTTCGACAATTCAATTGAAAAAAATATCCTCAAGGGTAAAATACCAGATGCAATTTTAAATTTCACTCCAATTTCAAAATCTAAAAGCTGATATCTTTAAATATTTATTGCATAATCTAAGAACCCATAACGATTTCAGGATACAAAGTCTACGAGTCGACTGGAATTATCAATAGCATAGCAGCTCGAACGCGGTACAGCAATTGAGGCAGTCCCAAGAGCGTGTATAATAACAACTGGAAAACAAATTTGAAAAGAAAAATCAAGAAATCATATACCATTAGACAAGAAGAAAGAAACGCACAGCGAGTTTAACAAATGATCTAAATGGTAAATTACCTGCGATTAATATCCAGAAGCTATGTAACCAATCCATAAAACCGGATGTTTGCCTCTGCATTACTTCAATTTTGTACGGAACAACTTGGGGTTTTAGAGAGAGAGAGGGAGGGAAAGAGTTTCAAGGGATTATTTGATAGAAAGAAATGAAATGTTGCTTGAGGCTTCACGGAGGGGAAGAGTATTCTACAGTGACAAACGAACTATTTCTGGCCTTGTAGACTACGCAGTATTATTGGATTATTTTTAAATAACAAAATATTGGAAAAAAGATTGATAACGGTATTTGGTTTGGTTTATGTATTTATTTATTCATTTATTTAAATAATTGCAATTTTGATGTATAGACCTTGAAAATTTTCTATTTTGAAAATTCTTAATTTTTAACTATTGAATGTGTTTTCCATATGTGGACATATGCTTATTAGGTGTCAAATGGGATTCCACGTAGATTGCCAGATGGATTAAAAATTCAGACGACGCGGAATAATCCTAATACCCTCCTCTATCTTCCTCTCCTCTCCCTTTGTGCAATCTAAGAATTTGAAATGGTGCTGCTCACTTTCTTTCGTTGGAATTGTTGTCATTGTAGCTGCACATAAAATTTCAACAAAATGAGCAAATAACATACCAAAATGTTTGTTACAATGCAAGGATCATAGATATGATATCGAGTTTTCACATACTTTGAATAATGTCGCTAAAATCGGCTAAATAACATTCGATCATTCACTCATTTTGGGTATTTTGATTCCGGTCATGAAATTAGAAATTGATATACTTAAATTATATATTAGGTGAAGATAAGTCAAATTATACTTAGTTCGAGCTTTGATTTAATCGAATAACAATGATCCTAACTGAAGAAAGTGAAAAGAAAAACTGTAAAATCTGTGCTGCTTCAATCTACTCTTATAGGAACCAATCAACCAAAAAAAAAGGTTGAATTATGACTTATCAATGAAGGAAAAGTGATTTGATGCCAGCCTTGCCCACTGAAACTTGTCGGAGGGCGGAAAAACCAAATCTTGAAGATGATCCATTAACTCATTTCTCTTATTCTCGTTGTTGTCATTAATGTCGCTGTCATCTTCCTCATCAACATGAGAACCCCTTTGTCTCCTTAAACCTATTCCATCTCTCTTAAAGCCTAACTTCATCCCTGTATCTCCATTTTTTTTTTTCTTAAGTCGATATTGCTAACTTTCTTTCTCAAGAAAAATGACTTTCTTCTCATCTCTATTGCTTGGTTACCTATGAATTCCTCGAAAATGAATCAACTTGGCCTTTAGGTCTCCTCTTATCTAGTTGGCCAAAATCGTGTAAGATATCATTCTTTTCCTCTTCATTGAAAAGTCCTTCTATCTTTATCTCTTTTCCTTCCTCTTTCTCTATTTCTACCTTAGTCTTTATTCTTATTTCTTTTACTCTGACTCTATCATGAGGCATATCAGAATATAACTCATCATCCGTGACTCAATGACTCATGGGTTTGAAAATCTTTTCCCTCATTTATTTATTCTCAATTGGAAAGAGAAAGGGATATGGCCTTGAGATAGAGGGAGGGGCTTATAGTTAATTCATGTAAATAATATTTTTAATCCACATGGAACCTTATTTGGCACCTAATAAATAAAAAATATATATAAACAAGTGGGACCCAATCATCCCACAGGAATTTCAATTGTCTATATATACAAAATACACTCAATTGTTAAAAAATTAAGAGTTTATTCACCAAATAATTAACTTTTTTTATCCATACATCGAAATATAAAATTTTGCAAAGTTCATACACCAAAATTGCAATTATCCTTTTGTTTTTTATTCATTTAGAAACTCGGACTACTCAATGCTAAATTGATGAAAACTCTAATTTCCGAGAGATCTTCAACTTGAGAACTTTCACTCTCCATATAGTTGGAAAGACCAACTAGACCATATCTGTAAGAACAAAAGTGAGGCCCTCGCAAAATTTTCATTATGTACATCCAAATCTGTTTAAAAATTTTGATTCCCACACTTATCCCAGACCCATTTAAAATAACTTTTAAAATATCTAACCTAAACCCATTTAAAATTTTAATACTCACACCCATTCGACACCCGTTTAAATAAACCCAAACCTACTTTAAATGGATTGGAGTGGGTAACATTGACATAGCCATGAAATTTAATGTAGGGGGTCCAACTAAAATATATACTTCATAAAAATCACATACAAAAAATAAATATAAGCAACAAGAATTCCCTAAAAATAGAAAATAATTTGTTACAATTAAATCACAATAATCCTCATCTATTTACCATTGATTGAAATCTATTTATAATAACTTCATTGTCAATATTTGTAAATTAACGACAATTTGACCGACAAATAAATCAAAGAAAAAATAATATGTTTTCTTGTAGCAATCATTTTCTTAGCAAGACCTCCAATTCCACTCACTTTAGAAAAATTTTTATCCATATGCATATCGAAGCTAAAGTTTTCAAGTTGAGATTCAAGTTCAATTAAAGCAACAAGAGAAAATTCAAATGGATAAAATTTTGCAAATTCAATCAATTTGCTCATGTCAAATGCAGAAAGTGAGTCTTTGGGATCAAAACATGTCATACATAAAAGCAAATTTGTATTAACTTCATCAAATTGATTATTAAGTTCTTAAAACTGCATATTAATCACTGAATAATATAACTCAACACGATAATGATGAAGATTTGTCATTTCTTCACTTCTATGCTTTGATCTTCCTCTAGCTATATAGACATGCATCATATCTATTACACTTATATCGTATTTACCACAAAACTCCAACACCTCAAGTAATTAAGATTCCTAATTCATTGTAGAAAAAGTTCTTTCTATTGTGGCTGTAGCAACTAGCAAAATTAACGACAATTTGACTAACAAATACATCAAAGGAAAAACAATATACTTTCTTACAGCGACCATTTTCTTCGCAAGACCTCCAATTCCATTCACTTTAAAAATTTTTTTATCTATATGCATATCGAAGATAAAGTGTTCAAGTTGAGATTTAAGTTCAATTAAAGCAACAAAAGAAAATTCAAAAGGATAAAATTTTGCAAGTTCAATCAATTTGCTCATATCAAATGTAGACAATGAGTCTTTTGGATCAAAACATGCTATACATAAAAGCAAATTTGTATTAACTTCATTAAATTGATTATTTAGTTCTTAAAACTGCATATCACTTACTGAATAATATAGCTCAACACGATAATGATGAAGATTTATCATTTCTTCACTTCTACGCTTTGATCTTCCTCTAGCTACATAGACATCTATCTAGGCATGGCCACCGGTTCAGTTCTAACCGGAATCGAACCGTACTGTAGACGAACCGGAACCAGCGAATCAAAATTTTAAACTGGAACTGGTGGTTCAAAGCGGTTAAGATTCATGTGAATATTAAAATATGAACCTGAATCGGCGGTCAACCGACGATTCCAGTCCAGTTCGAACCAGATGCACAAATAAAATTGTAGCTTAAAATTTTTTATAAACAAATTTATATCACTTGATTTGATTGTAGATAATTTGATTTATGGTGAAGAGAAGTACACAATGGTATATAATTTATAAAAAGTTGTGAAAAAAGTACATATGATTTGACTTAATTTGTACAAAAAATGATACATGAATAGTTGATTTGAAAAAAAAAAAAACTTTAAAGTGTATGGAAAAAGAGTTACATTCAATTCAAATAGTGCAACAGGTAGTTTTTTTATATGATAGGTCACTTTTATTTTTTTATTTTTAGTAAATAAATTTTATTTCTAACCGGCCACTCGAACCGTACTTATTGTAGACGCAAACCCGGAACAAGCGATTTCAAAATTTTACAAAACTACGTAACCTGGTGGTCTCACATAACGTGTTTAAGCTCTCACTCAGTCATATATTAAAAGACTACTCGATACACTCCTCGCACAATCCGGCGGTCAACGACGATTCCACGTCCAGTTCGACACCCAGATGCACAAATAAAATTGTTAGCTTAAAAATTTTTTATAAAACCATATTCTATCTCAGTCACTTGCTACTCCCGCGCTCTCACTTTTTCCGCAACTTTATCGCGTCTAGAGAAGTACCACAATCGGTATATTACATTTAATAGAAACAGTTTGTGAAACAAAGTACTAGTACATATGGATTTGACTTAATTTGTTCACAAAAAATGATAACATGAATAGTTGATTTGTTGAAAAAAAAAAAAAACTTTTAAAGTGTATTGGGAAAAAAGAGTTACATCAATTCAAATAGGGTGCAACAGGTAGTTTTTTTATATTGAGTAAGCAGTCACTTTTATTTTTTTATTTTTAGAAGAGTTACATTCAATTCAAATAGTGCAACAGGTAGTTTTTTTATATGATAGGTCACTTTTATTTTTTTATTTTTAGTAAATAAATTTTATTCATTTTTAATCAATTACTTATTTATTATAATTTACTAAATTATCCAAAAATATAGTTGTTATTTTTCTATTATAAGCTACAATTTGGGAAACTAATCAATGAAAAATATGTATAAATATGATGAGTTCATGATTTTTTTTTTCACAACTAATTATATCCTAACTTTCCTCTTATTCTCAATCAAAATTCTCTCAAATTTCCATGGTTCATTACTTTTTCTATTGCTTTATTTTCCTTAGTATTGGAATTATCTATTGTTTATTTTTTATTTTCCTACATCCAATTCTAAATTCCTTCTCTAATCTCAATTTTTCTATTCATAAATTTACTTCATTTGAATTTTTTTAATAATTTTCTTAATATTTGAAATAATAATTTCCAACTCATTCCATTAATTTCATATTCTATTTATTCATTTTGTTTCCATAATTCCATTTAAAAACATGAAACACAATTCACAAAGCTCTAAGAGAAAGAGAATTGCTCAAAGCGTGGAAGATATTGATTCAAATGATCCATTAATTAATTTTTCACCACAATTTAATGATGAAGTTCAATACAAACTCTAGTTGAGGAACGTTATATTTGTCATCATCCACCATAAGAAGCAACATCTCCTAATATTTCAATAAGTAAACCATCAAAATCAGATATTTTCAAGAAGCACTTTGCAAAAATTATTCAAGATAACGGAGAAATCAATGCGATTTAATGTAATTATTGCAAAAAAGAATATGCATTCAAGTTTGGAGGAGGCTATGGCACCCTCAATAGTAATTTAAAATCACACC